TAAATTAGTTGGTTCCATGGTGAGAGGATAACAGATAACTCACCATGTCTTTTGAAACGTCCCATGGAGCACCAATGATCACCTCATCAACATAACGACAAGCCAAAACATTCAAACTTCGCTCGTGGAGATTCATGATTGGGCGGTGTCGTCCTCGAGTTGAACTGCCAAAAAATAGTAAACACCAAAAGAAAAGTAGGCTGAATGTTATGCATTACAGATATAATGCTTCAACAGAAATGAACTCTGACTATAAACAAGGACTACTGCAGAACTGAACTAACTTAAGCATAGAGGAGAATAGAGATGCAATCATCATATTACCTTATGGTCTGATCTGTGTGAATCCCCACAAGTAAGAAATCTCCAAGTTCTCGAGCAAGTCGTAATATCTACATGGAAAGAAACTATAAACAGAAGAATATATGAATCATGCAGGGTTAATTTTAGTTTTCTCCTTGCAAAAACAGAAGTACAGCCAGCAGGGGCATTTGTCCTAAACAGACTTAGCTGACACAGATGTGAGGATTTCTTTCTTTCTTTCCCCATTTTCAGGTGGGTGGGCATGTGGAAAGGAATTCACATTTACCTCGACATGTCCAGCATGGAACAGATCAAAAGCGCCATCTATGTAAACTATCCGAGAATCTGGACCTGGACCCTGCATTGGGAATGTCTATAGTCAGTGACGATCCAAGAATTGGTCTCAAAATGTCTGCGAACAGTCCAAGAAGTGATATATTATTGTATGTGAAGCTGCAGATCAGCAGAAGTCATACCCTGCTATTTGAGAACTGAACTATTCGCCTAGATGTGGGAAGAAAATGAGATACTCTTGTTCCAGTTCCAGATCCAGTATCATCAACTTTCTGACCATGTCCGCTACTGAACTGCCTTTGTAGTGAAGAGTGATTATGGGCATCAGATGATCTCTCTCTAACACAAAGAAGCATCCGTCCTATCATGAAGTAATACTCAGTCAGCATGAGAATAAAGCATTTTCATCACCATATAAATTGTATTCCCTAGAAATGAATAATTCACTGTCCCCAAGAAGTTGAATTCACTGTCCCCAAGAAGTTGAATAACTTGAAGCTCTAAACTAGAAATGGGTACAGCAGAAGCTTCATTGTGCGTGCAGTCTTGGGAACAAGAACAATAGTGGAATGGTCATCCCTTAAACATTTCTTAAGATGATACTTGGTTCACAATGGTTTCCTAATGAACAAATCAGCTGAGGAAATCTTTTGAACAGTACAGTAGTTGCCAAAAGAAGTTTTTGGTAGATCTAGAATTAATTGCAACATCAAAGGATGGCTATGATATTTGAACAAAAAATAACTAGCAACTGAAAACTAGTACCTAAATAATCCCCATTTCAAAATTCAATATGATCATCAACAAAGCAGACTTTTAAAATCGAAAGCTGAAAAGAAAAACTAAAGCGAAATTAGTACCAACAATATCTGTTGTCGACACTCCCTCAGTTCTCTTAATCTGCTTGTATCGACCAGCCTTTTTGGCAAGAGCATATGCATCAGTACCATCTGGTAGCAAACAAGGATCATCACCATGGATAATGTAGTCTATGTTGTACTCATTGAATAGCTTGTTCATGAATTCTTCAGTTATGGCATAAGGTGCATCTGGAATGATATCATCTACCCATTTCACAGCACGGACCATTATCATTCTGTATTATCAGAAAAAAAAAATATCAGAATCTTGCTAAACAACATATAGGACTATAGGAGTCAGGGAGTAACAGACTTGATATTTCTTGACACAGAGAAACAGAGGCATAAAATTCTGTACAGCCAGGTCACACGTAAAGGAATGACACAATATAAAAGTTGAGACGAAATAAAATAAACGATCATTCGAGGATTATTTGCATAATATGCAAAAAGTGTCAAACAAAGTAACCTGCCTCCTTTATGAAAGCGACAACATAAACACTATGCTATTACCCTTAAGGTCTTAACTCAATTTTCAGATGAACCTATTACTAAAAACTACCAAAGAAACCTATTACTAATAACTACCAAAGAAAACATAAATAAAACTCAACTTTCATACTGTGCTAAACAACATATATAAGTTAGGGAGTAACTCACTGACACAGAGAAGCACAGGCATAAATCTCTGTACAGCCAGGTCACACGTAAAGGAATAACACAATATAAAGTTCAGATGAAATATAAAAACAACCATTCGAGGATTATTTGCATATGCAGAATGTGTCAAACAACAAAGTAACCTGCCCCTTTATATTCAGCCTGTTCGCTGGTTGGTTTCAGGGCTGATAAGCCCGGCTGGTGCTGGTTTGTTGTGAGAGGAAAACATCGAGCGAACAGGCTGATTAAAGTGACAACAGAAACCAAAAAAGAACACATAAATAAAACCCTCTGGACTGTTCTCTTTATGTGTAGATTGCAGAATTGGATTCATGCAAGAATTTTTTTTGAACCCGGTTGAGATCAAAGAATTTGGAGCAGCCCACTGCACAGTAACTCTTATCGGCCAGCAAGAACAAACAATGGATTCCCCAGGAGGAATATGAAATTCCCAAATAGCACTCAACTGATGAATTACTGCTAAAAGTGAGGTCATGGGCAGGTAGCTACGGGAAATAAAACGTCACTCCCAGTAACCTGTGCTAACACAACCGTATGCTACAAGTCTTTTTCGCGTCACATCATGAGATCAGATATTATTAATAAAAAAGATGAGGAGAATGAAACGGAAAAAAGACCATCGACACAGGGGACAGGACCTCTCGTGGAGCGGCGTGACGGGTGGTCCCTTGTTGGCCTTGATCTCGTCGTCGCTGATGACGCCGACGACGAGCTCGTCCCCGAGCGCGCGCGCCTGGCGCAGCGCGTTGCAGTGGCCGTAGTGCATCATGTCGAAGCACCCGTCCATGTAGACGCGCACGGGGCGGCGGGGGCGGCGGCGGAGCGCGCCGAGGGGTGGCGGCAGGGGCAGGGGCGGGATGGCGGCGGGCCCGCCCGCGAGGTGGAGCACGAGCACCGAGGCACCCAGCACGATGCCGCCGATCACGTACGCCGCCAGCGCCCGCGCGCTGCAGCCATTCCCCGCGTCCATGGGGGGGCACGGGCGGAGGTGGGGAGGGAGGGAGGGGTTGGTGGTGCGTGAGCGAGGGATGGCTGGATCTAGGGCTAGGGACGAGGGGCTGTCGCCATGCGAGGGGGAGGAGGAGGAGGAGGAGGAGGGGAAGGCGGGGAGAGGACGGCGGTGGTGGCGGCGAGGCGGGGAAGGAGGACGAATGCTCTGGTGGTGCCTCCGAGCCGCCGGGGCAAAGAGGGAAACAAAACAAGAGAGTGGGGTCCCCGTTCCGTTGCGTTCGGGAGTGAGCGTAGCGGAATTGTACACCGTTCCAGCTCTGGCTGCCGTGTGGGACCAACATGTCAGTCGCGGTGGGCTAGGAACATGCCCCACTTGTCAGTGATCGATACTGTGTTGAATACCGGCCGTCCATCGTACCGACCTCTTCTTGCTACACGTCAAACTTTTTATCCAGGTCACCAAAGGTTCGGTCCTCTTTTTAAATAATTATTATTAATTAAAAAAATGACCAAAATACGCTCACAAAATTATTTTCAAGTGTTTTTAGAACATGATGGCAATTTTATACAGTAGAGTAACACGTATGCCGCGACGTGTTTAGATGAAGATGATGCTACGATGTTCTACTAGTATTTACTAAATCCGTTCTAAATTATAGTTCGTTTGATTTTTTTTTACATTAAATTTGACCACTCATCTTATTTAAAAATTTATGTAAAATATTATTTTTTTGTTGTGCCTTGCTTTATTAACAAACGTTCTTCAATAATGACTTAAATTTAATTATGTTTATACAAAATTTTTGAATAAAACGAGCGGCCAAATTTAGAGTTAAAAAAATCAAATAAATTATAATTTATAACGGACAGAGTAGCTGACCATGGAAATGAACGACTTCGACTAGGAGCGATGCCTGGTCCAGCCAGCCGAAGATTCTCGAGCGATGCATCTATCACAAACATAATTTAATGATGATGTTATTGCGATAGATGCACACACGATCGCATCTGCTACTAGCATCTCTTCGAAGCGAATTTTGCTGAAAGATGCATCCGTAGCTTCACTGGCATCTCCTCCTCTACCTTCCCGTCCGTATATGCCTGCCCGGTGCCTGTTCCCTTCGGTCTCGGCTAACCGGTTCCATGCACACGGTCCAAGGATTACACGTGTCAGTGTCACCTGCTGGATACGGCGGAGCTTTGAATAATGGAACAAGATCCGGGGCCAGGCGGCAGCCGGCAAAGTCAAAGCTTCTCTCCCGGTCCGGAAAAGATGTCCACGGCCGTTGCCAGCTCGGCCGGCGGCATTGACCGCTTCCCCTGCATCTAGAGGGGAAGGCCGTCACTGGTCTGGAACATCTTCGTTCGTCCACGGCCTGGCATCATCGAACACCGACGCGAGGACAACAGCCATTCATATTCGTGTTCGGCTGGAGCTGGCGATCTCATCACACTCCTAGACTAGACTAGAAGCCGTGAAATCCGGGCATCCACGATGCATTTAGGGCGTGTTTGTTTTCCTGGACCTGCCTAATCTGGACCTGTCCAGAGAAACAAACACGCCCTTATAGCTGATAGTCATCAGGTGGGTCCACCTGCCAGTGACAAAGTCACCAGCGACTCTGCGCGGACGATCTCATCGCAATATCATCTCCCTTTCATCCATTTTATATACCACTCGCACAGCAACTATCAAGCAAACTCTAGGCAAGACAAAAATAAAAAGAATAATATATTTAAAAACTTCAGCCAGCTCAAACACGCCCACCACAATGCTGCTACCTGCAAAGCAGGGCTCGTGTCTTCTACAACAGCGTGAATTTACAGCAAAACATCTGTACCGGTGAGTGCGAAACGACCGAGCTCGCGATGCTGCCAGCCTCTACAGATGTCGTCAGTCTATGCCTACAGCTAGAGCGCCATCTCTGCCTGAAGTCTGGTCAGCTCGCTCAGATCACTGCCCTGTTTAGGAGCGGGCGCCGCTTCCGCTTTCGCTCTCGCCGACTGTTCCACGGGTGCCACGGACTGCCTCGCCGGCGGCTCAGGCAGCTCGTCCTCGATCTCTTCCTCCTCCAGCTCCTCCAGCTCCGCTTCCAGCTCGTCCTGTTTTGTTTTTGCCCGGAAACTAGTTAGAGACAAATAAATGGGTTCCATGCAGGACTCTCCGGGATCGACTATGCATACAGTGGGTGCACTTCAAGTTGATGATGACTGGGGTCTGGAACTCTGGATGCTATGAGATTGTACCCAGTTTAAAGGGAGGGGAAGTCATACAGTACCTCGTCGAAATCAGCAGAAGCGCCAACTGGCGTCGCGAGCGCCTGCTGTATCTCCCGCATGTTCTCTGTCTGTTCATTCGCCTCTTCAATGGCGCTCTCAATGTCGTCAATATTCCTGCACAAGAAGAATTGCCACAAACAGTTTGTCCAAGTGGCGGTTAATGCCATTTTAATTAATATTAATATAGTAGTAATAGTCTACATGAGAGCTATCAATACAGGAGTTGTGTTAGATTCAGAAGGTGCACAAGCCCAACAACAGAAGGGCAGGAAATATTTAATCAAGAATGGGGGTTTTCATTGCATTATAAAAGAAAATGTAGAGAACGGCAACATCTTCAGATGTTACGTGTTACAGCTTAGTATAAGCCATCGTAGGGCAGATGGAACCTTACACTGATTGTTGAATAGCTTTGACAGCAGATGATCCGGAGCGCAAAGCATCAACTGTGTCGGTAGTTGCCTTGGCGCTTTCAAGCATTATGATCTACATAAACAACTTACAATCAATTTATCGCACCATTTTTACAAGCCCCGGGATGCGTGAACCAAGTTCGACATTGTGTGCATATGTTTTTTCCTTTACCTGGTCATGAACTCGCAACTGAAAATTTGATAGCTGCTCAATTTGTGTCTCGTACAGTTTCTTTTTCTTTAGACACTGAATAGCAGCTGAAACAAACAGAAGGAATTTCACATATAAGCTTAAGAGCTATTGTTCGAGAGGGAAAAAAAAGCTAAAGAGCTATAAAATAAAAGATGAAAAGCATCACAAGCTTAGGAAGAATCCTTCTATGTTCCAAGCACAGTGAGAACACAATATAATCTATAATGTTGTCTAGACATTCAATATCACTAATCTGTAGTTTCTCTTTGCTTTGCGCATTTATCGATAGGCTGTGTGCAAGACGTTAAATCAAAGTTAGTTTCTGACCAAAACACAATGAGGGAACAAGCATTCTTCTATACAAGCCTTTTGGTGGCAAAATTTTCAAAGATTAATGATAAGCAAGCAAAATTTGCATATTTAACAATTAAGAATGACGAATTATCATAAGATTGTAACAAAACATAAAAATAGCAGATGTGTTTGCTCTGGAGCAACGTTCATTACCATTCTTGTTCTTCGATTTTGTATAATCCTTAGCCTTTTCGATTTCTGCAGAACATTTCTTCTGTAGGAAACGCTCTTTCTTCTCCAGCATTTCTAGAGTCTGCACACATGAACGGTACAAAAAACACACCAACGTGAAAGGTAAATCTAAGGTAGCAAGTTAATATCTAGGTACTGCAGATATAAATTGCTGATCTGTTGGCAATAGCTGATGATGTAGACCGAGGGGCATGATCACAGAACAAATAATCCACAATGTCAGCATCGAATGCTATACTTTATTGTGTCCTTAAAAAATAGATGAGCGCTGAACAATAGAATTGAAGGGCTGACCATCTCGAATTTAATTGACCATCCTGCCTAAAGGTCAAGCATTCAGGACAGGCTGGCAGCTTATGCCAAGAAGGACCTCTTCCTCTCTCTTTTTCAACATGAGGACTCCGAATCATCTCTTGTTTTATTCCACTCTTATCTTATGGAAATCCATTCAATTCAGAAATACACATGATTACGTTACAGCAGTCAGCTGAAGATGGATAGACTGTTTTATGACATTGGTTTTAACATATACTTCCACAATGTTGTGTTAAAAGCAAAAGAGTACAAATAGAAGGAAAAACAAGAGAGTTCTTCTGGCATACTCTTAAGAAGGGGGGAGCGAGCCCATTCTAAGAAATAAGAACTCTTTATATTTTAGAGGTGACCAGTTTCCACTTCAAAAAAAAAAGTATTCTTGATGAGAACATATTAAACCTCCATGAACTGCACCCTCGAATCCAGTCCTATCTTGCCAGAAAAAGGAGTAATATGTAATAGTACTGCCGCTTTTGAACAAAATAATAGTACTGCAGCTGATATATCACTATTGAAGGATCACAAGCGCAGCAACAGTTAAAACCAGGAACGGGGAAGATAAACAATGAATTAGGTATAAAGGGGATGAAAGACCTCATGGAGCCGATCCAGCGTGGGTATGGCAGAGGAGGCAGACTCCTTCTTCTTGCTCTTAGTCTTTGGCAGCAGTTTCTTCAGCATCTTCTTGTCACTCCCTGCTGATTCTCCCTCTTGTCTGATGATGGCCTGTGTACGAAGGAATAGGAGGGTGATGAACTGGAGACAGCCTTCTCGAGGGAGAAGGGGAAAGTGAGGAAAAGAGGTCGTCAGAACAGAGTTCTTGAGAATAGTAAGTATGAAGAATATGTAGGGGCGTCATAAAGCATGTGACGGGAGACAGAGAAGGACTTGTCTGCTTCAAGATAAAGACGAAAATGATTTAAAAAAAAAAAAAAGACGAAAATTTAGTTTCAATGATGTCACTATCTTAAGATACTTTACTCCATGTTAGACGGTTTGCCAACTTGTGGTTGTGCCCACTTTTCGTTAGAGCTGGTGTTAATGTGAAATAAGTTTTGGAGGAGAAAGTCAAGCTTTTGTGGATACAAGTAGAGAACAACAATACTAGCAACTTTCAAAAAGAATATCCTGGTGCCCATTTGTTTGAGGCTTGAAAACATGCAGCAACTGAGCAAGGGGTGCGTGCGCGTCAAGAGTCATGAGAGGAACCTTGAATTCACAGGCTGTAGGTCATATAGATATTTATCATCTTTTTACTGAACAAAGTCTATGTGCAGGTCTACAAGACAACAGTGGTAGCATTTCCTTGTGAGAAGTTCCTTTAAAAAGCCAGAATTATAACAGCCACACATGATATATATTTAGGACAGTGACAACAGAATCGGCATATTAGGGAGACGACAGAGGAATGATGTTGTTTTCGGTAGCAGGTATATTGGATTAGGTCGGTCTAGCGACCTACTACATAATTTGGCGTCTTCTTACTTGGAACAAGCTGTGAATCTTACACCATACCACTCAAAATGCTTCTTACTTAAGTAGCCATCTGCTTTTCCTTCCAGGACCAGTAGTTGAGCTGCCATTCCTTATCATCTGTGGCTTTTGAGAAACTAAAATAGATGCTTAATGAAATTCGCCCGAGCCGAATAAAGGGGTATTCGATCACAACCCATGCCTTCTATCCTGATCATTCTTACCAAAGATAACCCATTGCCTTTCAACACTTATTCCTGGATCCTGAGATTTGCATCCAACTTTTGCGCAAAAAATAAAAGGATTAGAAATTTGATTTGGGTGGGAGTGGCTGCTAGATTGGGGAAATGATGTTGTTTTAATAAAATAAAATCTACTTCTCGCCTCCCCCTGCAGAGCGACAAAGCTAAGGACGCTCTCGACAATAAGCTTTAGAAGTTATTGCTCTAGAGATATCCAATAGCTGCATAGTCGCCTTGGTCACGGATCCCCTCCTCTCTTTTAGTGTAATGCTACGCAGCAGCATGTTTATCAATCTAGCCTTCTATCCTGGCATCCAACTTTGCTAGGACTTGGTGACGAACTGATTGTTAGCTGCATGGTCCCCTCCCTCTCTCCCTAGTGTAGAGGCAACGGTAGGCGCGCTAGGACTGCATATTGCGTAAGTGCGGGCATATAAGTGCGGACACATGAGCGTAGGCGTGGGATACCCCCGTCGCTTACCCTCGAACGAAACAAGCTTGAGAAATCCAGAAGCACCAGTGGAATCGGATCCTCGCAGGGATCAAGCAAGGCCGCCTGAATCGACGGAAACAGAGGGGCAGTTAACACGCAGCGTCCGCTATCTGCAGCAGCATTTCCGAAAAAATACAGCGGGCGGAAAGCAGAGAGGGCCAGAAGAGAACGCACCGCGAACGAACAGCCTCGCCTCGCCGCCAGCCACGGCCGCACCCGCGTGCCTGGGACTGGGACTGGGAGGGCGCAGCAGACCGCCGATGGGGCCGCGGAGCAGGTGGCGCTGCCGTCAGTGAATAAGCTGCGGCGAGCGGTGGAGGTGGAGGTGGAGGTGGAGGTGGAGGTGGAGCGCAGGGCAAGCGTCGCGTTCCACGCGAAGGCCAAGACCCAAGAGCCCAAGCGGCTCTTCGTCACTGGAGAAGGCCCACATCGGTATTCCGTCCATACATATGGGCCGAGAGTATAATAGCAGACAATCAGGCAAGCAGCCCCTGTGAAGCCCACAGGCACAGCATGAACCGAATACGATTAAGCTAGCTGGTTTACCCAATCGCAAAAGCTATTTCGCGACCAGGCGCGCTCCTGCGTGACCGCGCGACTCGCGTGGCGCGGCCTGGCCTGCTTGCATGCGTACGCGACCTGGCCTGCTTGCACGTGCATCTCGCTTCCAATTTTATTTTTTTTGTAGATGTCAATTTCATTTATATTTCATTTATTATTTTGATTGCTGTATTTTTAGTTTCTATTTTAAGTTTTTTAGTCTGCTTTCCTTTTTTTTTAGTTTCAGTTTTCAGTCAAGTTTTTTTTATTTTTAGTTTTAGTTTTCAGTCACTCTTTTAGTTCAAATGTCTTTCTAAATTCTGCATATTAGTTGCCTCAACTACAATATATAAGTTATCACAAAAGGGAAGCCATTGCACACATAAGTTCACACAAAAAAAATTTGCTCCCTGCTTGTGCAACAGCTTCTATTTTTTGGTTTGTTGCAATAATTTGCCCCCAAGTTATACAACTATAGTATTACATGGTAGTAACTCCTTTTGATATTTTTTTGGCCCCCAGTCTGTATATACTATGTAATAACTTTAGTATATTTTTGAGTATCAACTTTAGGTTTATATAGTCGTAACTTCTTTTGATTTTTTGGCACCCCGAGCTTGTGCATACAATGTAAAAACTTTAATATATTTTTGGAGTAACAAGTTTACTATTACATTGTAGTAAGGTTTCATAAATCTCATAGCATATTTTTGCTACTAAAATAAAATTCTTTGAAATATAGGCATAGTTTTATTCGTCTCATCACGTAGAATATACTGATGTAAACGAAATTAAAAACGAATACACCATTCAAAAGTTACCCCAGTTCAAAGAAAATATTTGCTTTTTTAGTTTTACGTGCAAGGTACAGTGGGGCTTCAGTCGCTGCTGGTCGGTCGCATGCACTGAGCCTCAGTCGCCGCGCGGCTGCATGCAGTTGGTCGCGAGCTCGGTCGCCGAATTTTTTTTGTTTTTTAGGCCCTTTTTTAAAAAAAAAATCATAAATATGCTTTTAAAGGTATGAATTCAAAATCTTGACCCGCTCGGCATCATCGTTGGTGGCGCCGAGCTTATACGTCTCAGCGCCATAGATTCTGGCGTCTAGGTCTTGGGCTCGACGCAAACGTGGCGGTTACTTGGCAGCCAGCTTGGCGCCGTAGATCCTGGCGCCGAGCTCGGCGCCGTAGATCTTGGCGCCAAGCTTCGCGCCGTAGATCTTGGTGCCGAGCTTTGCACCGTGGTTATTGGCGTCAAGCCCTGTCTTACGTATGGGCCCACTTCCTTTCTCTCTTCCTCTCTCTCTCCTTCCCCGAATCAGCGTTGTCGCACCGCCGCCGCTGCGCGTAGCCCCGTCCGCCCGAGGCCGCGTCGGCCACGTCGCCCACGCTCGCGCCGGCCACCGTGGCCGTGCCGTCCACCACGCCCTCGCCCGTGCCCGCGCCCACGGCGTCCACCGGGGCCGCGTTGGCCACCGCGCCCCACGCCCACGCCGGTCAACCGCGCCCGCGCCCGCGGCCGCGTCGGCCCCCACGCCTGCCCCAGCCAACCGCGCCCGCGCCCACGCGCTGCGACCTCGTCGTCGAATCGTATCGTACAGACGCTTTGCAGATGAATCTAGAATTTTCAGTAACAGTGAACAAATCTAGACTTTTCAGACAATGAAAATAGACTCTAGACTTTTCAGACAATGAAAATAGACTTTTCAGTTACAAGGACGAGGAGTACGGTGACAACAGCGATTTATCACTTCACTTACATAGTATACCTATAGTATCTAGGCTTTTCAGTAACAGTGAATGAATTTAGGTTTTTCAGACAATGGAAATAGACTTTTCAGTTACAAGGACGTGGAGTACGATGACAGCAGCGATTTATCACTTCACTTATATAGTACACCTATACCATCTAGGCTTTTTAGTGATTTATCATGTCAACGACGAATAGACTTTTCAGGAAACGAATCTAGGCTTTTCAGTATTCATTGAAATAGGCTCTTCAGTGAAACTATTTAGGCTTCTTGTGACCAGTTATAACACATTGAAACGGCAACTAAACCTGTCTCTGCCTATATATACGTAATGCTGGATGCATTGCTACTTACTTTTCAACTAGTATTTTCTTTCGTTGTAGTACCAATGTCTGGAGGATCGTCCTAGAGTGAGAGGAAAGGGGAAGGGAACTACCATTGTGTGGGAGGGTTGTCTTGGTCCCGATTTCTTTGAGAAAGCTCTTTATGAGAGGTTCCCAATTGAGAGCAAAAGTGATTTCACCAAATAAGCACCACTGAGAGGATACGATGAATGGAAAGAAGAGTGGCCAAAATGCATGTATGGTGAGGATTGCTTAGTGTAGATGTTCACCGAGGGAATAGATGGAGGTCGTCGTTTCTTCAAATGCCCGTGAGCATAGATAATTGCTATTACTATTTATTTCTTCAATATGTTCCTCTTCTATACAACTTACATGACATACTTATTGCAGTCTTTCTTGCCCGAAGAAAACTGTGGGTTCACTAGGTGGGTCGATCCTCGACCTATTTATCCGCATGCGGAGTACATCTACTACTTACAGGACCGTATCTTCGATCTAGAAAGGAAAGTTAGCAGCAGTTATAAGAAAGACGAACAGGACGACAACAACAATGGTGCCGATTCACAGGAGGCACTCTGCAATGATCCATATTGCACCTGCCCTAACCACAAGAATAAGGGGTTTCCGCCGTCAGCCCCGCCACCACCACCACCAACAATGGGAGGCTACTACGGAGAAGGTGCAACACAATTTGCTATGTGACCACACTACTAGGACGACTCTATCTTATTCACATGGCACATCCATGTGTTTATTGTTTGGTTTAATTACCTAAGACATGTTAGGTTTAGTCGAAGGAACTATGTATCCTAGTTCGGTACATGTTCTCACATGCCATTTTATGTGTTTTGTGTGTTGAATTATATAATACCCTATTTCGTTAGGTTTTGTTTGCAGCACGTGATCATATTTTACTACATTCGCAATATTATACTGAATATTATGACCACAAATAATAAAAACAACTACATAATGAAAAGTCCAATACTATGCCACGTTAACAACACAATAATACTAGAAGTACGTGCCGACAGTAGACAACATTGTTCATGAATAAATTATACAACTAGCAAGTCTTGGAGACTACTGAGTGCAACGAGGCCACTTTTCCTTCCTCAGAGCATCGGGATTCTCCTCCATCGCTGCTTTCGCTCGGCGTGCACGCTCAAGCTTCTCTCTCTCCTCCCTATACGCAGCAACACACCACCTTTCTTTCTCTTCCTTGTGCTCTTTTTTTGCAGCCTCTTCTCCGCGTCTCTTTTCCATCATCTCCTTATCCTCTGCCTCCCACCGCAACAGTTCTGCATCCATTTCTTGTCTTCAGACTTGATCTCAGTGTCGATCCACTGCTCAAAATCACAGAGCGGTGGAGGGGTTTGCAAAAAATGCAATTGTTACAAAAAAATCATGCAAGATGTCATATGACACAAACATCAATTCATCACCATCTTGTTAATGCGGCGCTGACGAAGTGTAGGCTCAAACGCAAAATTGGAACACATCCAATACTTCTGCCTATACGTGTCCTCTTTATCGGACTTGGCTAAGTTACAAGGATCGCTGCACAAACACATGGGCACTGGAACACCACTAGGCAGAGACAATGGATCGAAGACATTTCCGGTCATCCGGCCATAACTACAATTCAACCAATTTCGTTCTAAGAACCGAAAGCAATTAACATTAAACCCTAAACCTAGGGTTTCCCATTTGATGCACAACAATGAACCCATAACATAACAACTTGCGCTGAGGTTATCTTGGTTTGCTAGCTTTTCCATGTCTTGGCATCCTTCGGTTGTATAATACAAATATTAAAAATTGCATGAAACCCTAAGTAATGACGATTCTTAGGTTGAAAAATTCGACTAATATATACCGAATCGATGCGAAAAAAAGGAGGAGAACGAGGATACCTTGCTCTCGAAGATCTACGGATCAAATCAAAGTTTCCAAGGTCCAATATGCCGATTCGTGAGGTAGGGCGAAGTGGGGAGAGAAAAAAACAGAGAGGAAGAAGAAAGAAGAGGAAGAAGACTCGGACAGGAAGGTTGGGGGGTTAAAACACCACCTCGCCGCCATAGATATTGGCGCCAAGCTCGGCGCCAGGATCTACGGCGCCAAGCTGCCTGCCAAGTCACCGCCACGTCTGCGTCGAGACCAAGACCTAGGCACCAGAATCTATGGCGCCAAGACGTGTAAGCTCGGCGCCACCAACGATGACGCCGAGCTAAGAGTCAAGATTTTAAAATCATACCTCCAGGGGTATATTTGTGAAATTTTTTCAAAAAAAGACTAAAAAATAAAAAAGTTGGGCTCAGTCGCTGCGCGGGGATGGGGTCGCGCACTTTGCTTTTGCGTGACCCGTCGCGCCCTATCCCTGTCCTTACCCAATTACATGAGAACCATGCCTGTTTCTTTGGTCATGGAATCGACAAATCTATTAATGCAATGTTGTGCGTCCGATAGTAAAATCCCATAAGAATCTCTGGTAGAAAGGAGTGAACATAACATCAGGCCGATAAATAGTGGCGGATCTTGAGAAATAAGTTATAAGTGGCTCTTCCATTGTCTTTTATTTATTTCTTTGTTATGGTTCATAGATACCAATTTGTAGTGGAGGCTCAAAAGAGGCTCCGCTGGAACCCACCTTGCCCTGATGCTAGATCCACCCCTGTAAAATATCATAGGAATTAGCAGTTGGGCAAAGATAAGATATGAGATGGTAACAACAAGCCGATGATTTTTACACTATAATACCGCGTAGATAGATCTATCTACTGCAACTACTACTAAGGTACTAGATAGATTATATTTTTGAACCCACACATAGCATGTTACTTACCAATTATATATTACCATCATAGGGCTTGTTCGGTTAATCTCCACACGAGAGGATTGGAGGAGATTGAATGGAATTAAATCCCCTATAAGAGTTTGTTTGGCTGCACTTGTATTCTCTTCAATCTATATATGTAGAATTGGATTGGAGTGTAACTTAGTTTAATTTTCATCCTAATCCACTCCAACACAAATGATTGAGATGAATACGAGTGCATCTCAACAAGGCCTAAGGCCTAAGAGTTTGTTTGGATGTATCCACCCAAAACACATGTATTGAGGTATAAAAATAACTAATTTTCACACAAATTTACTCTAACATAGGTGAATTGAGATGAATACGAGTGCATTAAGACAAATCTAAGTCAAAATCCCTCTTAATCCTTTCGGATCCCTCGATTTAGATTAACTGGACAAGGCTTTAATTTGCACCCACCCATATGGACAGGAAGAAAACGAGGCAGATCCTGATTGGGCTTTCGAAATGCGAGAATCGGATGGTATAACCCAAGAGCCCATCTGCTAAATGACCTTTTTTTTTCTGAGAAAACACAGAAGATCCTAGCTAGTGCAATATACAAAACAAAAAAAGTAGGGTCAGAATAAAACACAAACAAAAGTGCTTGGACCATAATTTTGTAATGGTGTGCTCTGGATAGTCAACCGGCCGGTACAAAATGTCGCATACAAATTACAAAATGCTGATTTAACATGTCTACTAGAAAATGTTAGGATATAGTAAGTTTTTTTTTCAAAAAAAGAAAAGAAATGAATGAACACAACGTAATGTCGAATCACTCAAGGTTTGAGTAAAAAACAACAACACGTTGAAGCACAACTTACTGCACCTCTAATAAAAACCTGATATTGTTACTCTACTATCTAAAAAAACGATGAGAGGCCGATTTTCCCATGTCACATCCTATTTGCCACAACTCCACTTTGGAGATGCAGGTTAAATCCGTAGTTTGTAGATTAAATAAATGAAAGTAATTCAAATATATCTAATATAACCTAACTGATAAGCAAAATGTTTTCTATCTAGAGCTATAAATACCCACAGCTCTAGCAAATCCATGAATGAAGCTGCAAAATTCGTGGTAAAATCCAGGCCCTACATACCACCACGTGGAGGTCGAGCTCACAGCCACAAACCAATGCAAGAGTGCATGCAAATGCAATGCAAGCAGAGTTCCGGCCGGCCAGGAATAGCAGCTCCGTCCTCGCTCCCATGGATCACTCGGCACCCCACACGCGCTTCGCCCCCATCCCCGGCGCGTACGTCCACGTCCACCAGTGACTGACCGTCGATCACATCAGCCATCATCGCCGGCGGCGATCGACGGACGAGCTAACAATCGATCGACCGGCCGACGAGCGCACCGAACGGCCGGCGGAGGATGGCGGCGACGGCGGTGGCCGACCCGCTGGCGGAGCTGTGGAACCACACGACGTCGGCGGGCCGGTCGGACCTCTTCTGCTTCGACCCGAGGAAGATCACCATGACAGGCATCTGGACGGGGGACAACCCGCTGGACTTCTCCCTCCCGCTACTCCTCTTCCAGATCATCCTCGTCACCGCCACCACCCGCGCCGTGGCGCTGCTGCTGGCGCCGCTCCGCCTCCCGCGCTACATCGCCGAGATCCTGGGGGGCTTCCTCCTGGGGCCCTCCGTGCTGGGCCGCGTCCCGCACTTCTCCGACATCGCCTTCCCCGTCCGCAGCATCTTCATCCTCGAGTCCATGTCCCTCATCGGCCTCGTCTACTACACCTTCACTATCGGCGTCGAGATCGAGCTCCACACCGTCCTCCGCGCGGGCTTCCGCAGCTTCTGGTTCGCCGCCGCCTCCGCGCTCCCGCCCTTCCTTGTCGGCGCCGTCACGGGCTACGTCGCGCTCTCCAACGCCGGGGACGAGGACGGCGGCGGAACGACGACGGCCGCCAAGGCCGGACAGCAGTTCCTCAACCGCCTCTCCTTCCCCGTCTTCCTCGGCGCCACCTTCTGCTCCACCGCCTTCTCCGTGCTCGCGCGCAACATCGCGGAGCTCAAGCTCGCCGGCACCGACGTGGGCCAGCTCTCCATCTCGGCGTCGCTCATCAACGACACCTTCGCGTGGGCCGGGCTCACCATCGCCACGGCGCTCGCGCACGTCCGCTACGGCATTGTCCCGTGCCTCTGGACGCTCGTGTCGGGCGTGCTCATCGTCAGCGCCAGCTACCTCGTGGTCCGCCCCATGCTCGTCCGCCTGGCGCGCCGCGTCGCCGAGGGCGAGGTCGTCAGCGAGGCGCACGAGTGCTGGGTCCTCGTCGGCGTCCTCGTCGCCGCGCTCGTCGCCGACTTCGGGGGCACGCACGCCATATTCGGCGCCTTCGTCTTCGGCCTCGCCGTGCCCAATGGCCCCGTCGGCGTCGCCATCGTCGAGAAGGTGGAGGACTTCGTGGTGGGCACGCTGCTGCCCCTCTTCTTCGCCATGAGCGGGCTCCGCACGGACACCGCCAAGATCACCAGCACGCCCGCGGCGGTGCTGCTGATGGTGGCCGCGCTGGCCGCGGCCATCCTCAAGGTGGCGGCCGCCGTCGGCGTCGCCGCCGTGTTCGGCATGCCGTTGCTCGACGGCACCTCCATCGGCCTGCTGCTCAACACCAAGGGGATCATCGAGCTCATCATCCTCAACATCGGCAGGAACAAGCGGATAATGAGCGACCAGTCGTTCACGGTGCTGGTGTTCATGTCGGCGCTGATCACGGCGCTGGTGACGCCGCTGCTGGCGCTGGTGGTGAAGCCCGCGCGGCGGCTGGTGTTCTACAAGCGGCGCACCATCGCGTGGCCGCAGCCGGACGCGGAGTTCCACGTGCTGGCGTGCGTGCACATGCCCCGCGACGTGCCGGCGCTCCTCACCCTGCTGGACGTGGCGTCGCCCTCGGACCGGTCGCCCGTGGCGGTGCAGGCGCTGCACCTGATCGAGTTCGCTGGGCGGTCGTCGGCGCTGCTCCTGATCAACGCGTCGGCGCCGTCGTCGTCGTTCGAGCACTCGGCGCACCGGCGCAGCCAGGTGGAGCTGCAGTTCAAGCACATCGCACACGCCTTCATGGCGTATGAGGAGAACGTGGCGGGCGTGTCGGCGCGCACCATGGCGGCCGTGTCACCGTACACGACGATGCACGACGACGTGACGTCCGCGGCCGAGGAGCGGCAGTCGGCCCTCATCCTGCTGCCGTTCCACAAGCACCGGTTGGTGGACGGCGGGATGGAGGTGTTCCACCCGGCGATCCAGCCGCTGAACCAGAGCATCCAGCGCTTCTCGCCCTGCACCGTGGGCATCCTCGTCGACCGCGGCCTGGGCGGCGTGCCGGGCGCCGGGTGCCGCGTGGCGGCGCTCTTCTTCGGCGGGCGCGACGACCGCGAGGTGGCGGCGCTGGCGATCCGCATGGTGTACAACCCGGCCGTCGACCTCACGCTGCTCCGGTTCGCACAGAAGGGCGGCAGCTTCACGGGCACCGAGTTCGACGCGCTCAAGGAGCGCAAGGCCGACGACGGGATCCTGCGGGAGTTCCTGGACCGGGCCAACAGCGTAAGCGCCGGCGGCGGCGGCGGCGCGGGCGTGGAGTACCGGGAGCGCGGCGTGTTCAACGCCAGCGAGATGGTGGCGCAGATCAGGGAGGTGGAGGCGCTGGGGAAGGACCTCTTCGTGGTGGGCAAGGTGCCGGGCCTGCCGGCGCTCACGGCGGGGATGGCGGAGTGGAGTGAGTGCCCGGAGCTGGGGCCCATCGGGGACCTGCTCTCGTCGAGGGACTTCCAGACCACGGCGTCGGTGCTGGTGGTGCAGTCGTACGCGAGGCCGTCTGCCGGGGGGATATCGGCGGAGCTGGGACTGGGCGGCGATGGCGTGCCCACGGCGGGGCGGCCGCCACGGCCATATCAGATCCGTAGGGGTAGCCTCGGGAATAGGAGCTAGCTAGCTAGGTCTGTATAGGTCATGGAGGTGGCTGCCTGGCTGGCTGGCGTCGCGCCATGGGTGGGTTCATGGCTTCATGCTCGATCATGTGGTTCATGGTACTAACAACAAGCACGTAGCCGCCAGCGATCATCGGAGAAATTTAGTCAAGGTAGCTCGCATGGTAATTGCAGTTTGTGTAGTTAAATACCACTGTAGTAACTCTGAATCTAAATACAGGTCCTTTATTATTAGGACATTGACATGGTCTCTGAAGTAACATTGTTTTGACTTGTAATTTTTGTTATTATAGAATATACCATACTAAATAGTAAATTGTTATATTAAGAAAATATATGAACATGGTCACATTGTCACCTGTGAACCTAAGAGCATCTCCATCAGATTGAATATCTTCCTTCTCTAAAAATCTCATATAAGCGATTGAGAAAACCAATTGAAGCTTACAGGAGAGGACTGTCGCAGCAGATTGAGAATCCTTCACAGCCTGTTCGCTTGCTCGTAAACGATCGTAAATTTTCAGCCGGGAACTGTGTTTTTCTCTCACACCAAACCAGCCAGCAGTAAATAATCCACGATACGATACGGCCTCCCGAACAGGCTATTTATTTACATGGGACCCACTTATCAATGACACATCTCATTTCTTCTTCATCCTCTCTCCATCCTCTCCCTCCCTCTCGGTGTCACCCCGACGCGCTGGACAGCGGCTCAGAGGCGAGGCAGGCCCGAGCACCACCCCGGCGCAGTGGCAGATCGGCGTCGCGGTCGGCTCGAGCACTCACCCTGCTCGACGACAGCTCGTTGATGCAACCGGCCAGAGCGGTGACCCACCGGCGCCATAGCGGCTCGCGCAGCCCCACGCGCTCGCATGTCCGACGCTGCGGCTTGCGCTATCAGCGGCCCGCGTGCTCACGGCGGAGACGCCAGCCACTCCACCATCTTGTGCGGCCACGGTGTTAGTGACAGGATGAAGGGGAAAGGGGATTGAGAAAAAATAATGACAGATCCTCTCTATTTGAGGAATCTTCTACACCTAAATTTTTTTTTCTAAAGTAATCATCTATCCGATGATATCAAAAATATATAAAAAAAACTTACCAAATACGTATACTATCCGGCTACGTTCATGGCTGCCCGGTGATAAAAAAAGCTTATACATCCGGTCACAAAGACTACCAAATACGTATGCTAAAAATTATAAAAATCTTAAAAAGCAGGACGATACTTCCAACAGAATTATGTTTCAAAATAGCCGGGATAAGATATCTCTTATCTCCTACAACTAAAAAGAATAAAGTGTTATATTTTTTGGTGCGACATTTGTTTTGGTTCGTCCGTCTGTCCACGCCTGCGATCCCACGACATCTCCCGCATGCTGCGTCCTTTGGTACGATTCTCCTTGATTGAATATTGCCTATCATATAATAGAGAAATCACGGCAACATAGGAAGTAGAAAATTATTGTACTATCTATATACACATTGCATGTTTGCATGCACCAGCATACATGGCAATGAGCAAAAGAAAAAAGAATTAACACAAAAGGAAAGAGAATTAAGACAAAATGAACCTCTTTGCATTTCTGAGAACCTTGCCAAATCTGCCTACATTTAATTACTTTCCCTCTTTGCATTTGCAAAAGGGACAGTTTTTTCCTCATTTCATTTGGTTTCACGCTCACGTGTTCCATCGCCTCGCTTGCTGTTTCTTGCTGAAATTGCCCTGGGGTCTGTTCATTTTGAATCCTTTCCCCATATTCTAATTAAACTACAAAATTTTGAATTAGGATACAAGGTAAGACATGTATTCTTCTGGAGGCAATGCAAATTCTTTATAATCTTTCATTTGGTGTAGTTGGTGTTATCATAGTACCGCATGTATTCATGGGAAATAAATCGTGGACAAAACGTGGATATTTTTTGGTGCGACATTCCAACATGGGTCCATCGTCCTGCCAATATCCTTGAGGCAGATCACGTAAAGGATGAGAGTCCCTTTATGAGATTGCTCACAAGAGACTCAAATTTATATCTGATCATGGTAATGTTGAATTGCTTTGCATCAAAAGCATCGGCAATGATAAACAGGGACATAGGTTTGAGTATGCATAGTAGAGAAAAACTCAACCTTGGCCTTCTTAGCATCTTTTCTGAGCCTTTGTAGTGCTAACTTGTCCTTACTCACATAGTCAAGAGGTGCACCATAAAATTATGCACCACTAAGAAAAGTGTCACCATTGGTTACCTTGACCTGAAAAATGTGTCGAAATTAAGAATTACAACACCTAATTCAACATCTTGGAACAACACTCAAGTGGATACCTTATTCTACAATATATGTCTATGTGGAATAGTCCTAAAACCACATATATTTACACGGTGAGTATAACATACTTTGTTTTAAAAATTTATGAGAGATTTTTTAAGACACGCAGTATTATCCATGTGACAGGCACTAATATTTACATATATACTCGAACCTGTGTACAGGATTATATGGAGATGCAGCGGAACTTATTTATGGATTTATTGGCGCATGAAAGAAATGGATATCAGAGAATTCTTTCTGTCGATATAAAATATTATCTTAGCCATATCACGAAAAGTCTATACAGTAGAGTTTATGAGCCTGCGACGCTGCGCTCTCCGTGACTGTATTAATTTCACGAACTTTGCTTTTTGAATTAAATGTCACTTTAACGTCGGTATTTAATTTAACAGTATTGTTATCTTATCGTGCGATCCGTATGTTTTTAGTACAAAAGATTTAGTTGTCCCGTAGCAACGCACGGGCACGCTACCTAGTGGTAGAATAAGTAGTATAATGAACACGATTGTTAAGGTACTATGAAATAAGTTTGTTTCAATTTCATATGGAAACTTGAATACTTGGTCAAAAACGATAATTGCGTAAAAATGGATTGTTGTGAACATTAAAAACATAAATTATCGTGATATTATTTCGTTCCCGGGCAAGGCCGGGCATGATTTAGTTGAGAAAAAAATATATAAAAGAGGATCTCATGGAGCAGATTTTTTTTCACCTTATTCCTCTATATGACAGGTTTTAGGAAAAGTAGGAAAAGGAGATCTCTTTTCTCAAACCGATGGAGATGCTAGCTTTTCTTAGACTAGACACAGCCCACGCGCATGGTAAAAATACCGATACTTGAGACTCTTTTTTTTTTCATCTAAGCTTCGTTGAAATACTTGTTGGTGCCTCTAAGGTCAAACACACGACACTTGTGTTCAAAGTGAATAGCTGACATGATGAAGATATATCACTAGACAGTCAGGGGCGAATCCAGGATATCATGTCATTGGGGTCAAGGACGAAGCATCGGGGTCAAACACATGTTGATTTTCTATTTGAATCAGTAATTTGCAGGTGGATTAAAGAACTTTAAATGTATTTCTGGCATGTTATCGGGGTCAGCTGACCCCGATGGATACACATAGATTCGCCCCTGTAGACAGTTTATAAGTCGTTTAGGACATCGACACAGTTGAAATTTTGACCTGCATTTTCTTATTAAAATATATACCATCTTAATAAATAGTAAATAAAATTATATATTATGAAAGCATATGAACGTGGTAGGATTGTAGTATTTGTGAACCTAAGTAGCTTTTTTTCTTAGGGAACTTGTGAACCTAAGTAGCTGGGCCTATATCGGGATGGTCCAAACTGATGAAGTCAGCACGTTATCGTTAGCTGAGCGAGTTGGCAGGGCCAGGCCCGCTGGGCCCTACTAACTTCATGCAATCATGCTAGGCCTGGATATAGTGGGTTATTGACTCATGGGCATATATTGTCATGGGCTAGGAGGTTTATTACTGGGCTGAGCCGCTTAAAGGCACAGTGGGCTGTCGTTCACTACAATGGCGTACGTATCCTGCGTGCAGCAAAATGAGGTTCCTTTTTAGACTTGGTTGAACAAATGAGGGGCATGCACTTCTCTTGCCTCAAATTGATCGACACACACGCGCGCGCAAAAAAAAAGCACATAACCATCAGAGCCTATGTTTTTTCTGGGTCAAATTCAGCATGGTAGTGGTAACAAATGCATTTTCAAGACTAGTAGTATGCTCGTGCTAACGCTACGGTGACTTTTCAGTTGTGCTAACGCATCGGGGCGATACAACATAAACAAGCATAATAACAAACTAAAGATAAGAAGATAACAAGTGCAAACTATGGAGTCTAACTCAGATAAAGCATGAGTCAATCATTTAGCGACAAAAATAGATAACCTGAAATAGTGAAAGTGTATGACAATGACACAAAGATAAAAGGAACATGAAGGCCACAGATTGATCCACATCATCAAACAAGGACATCTGTACACACTTCCTTTGAATACGAAACAATGCAAATATCACTCCCCTAGAGATCATTTGAATATAAGGATGTGACATTACATCGAGCATGTATTTTCATACTATCCAAAATAAAGGCCAGATTGATCCACGTAATCAAACAAGGACGTATGTACACACTTCCTTTGAATACGAAACAATGCAAATATCACTCCCCTAGAGATCATTTGAACAGAAGGATGTGACATTACATCGAGCATGTATTTTCATACTATCCTAAATTTCCCACCATGTGTCAACAGAACGGAACTTCGTCAACAAAACACCAAAATTCACCATCCATTTGTCATTTTGTTCCTTTCAAAGTTGTGTCTTTTGGCATCCATTCAGCATGTTAACAGCAGCAAGCATCTAACACTCTAAACTTCCAGAATATGGTTATTTTCTGAAAAGATGAAATTACAATTTCTGAAACTTCAGAGCTCAGGCCTTTTGAGACATTATTAACAATTTTCTGATATTTTGTCCCACTAACAAATGTACTTCCTATCAGATACAATCTAACAATGCAACGTAGAGGTACGGAAACAAGTTATGGCTAAGCACTAACCCAGAAAAAGAATAGTAGAAACAGATAGATCATTCTTTGCGAATCTGAGGGAAGTACATGTTATTGTG